ATCTTTGCAAAGTATACATTATCAGATAAAATATTAATATCTAGAATATACATATACACACACAGGTGGTAGAAATATAAAATGTTATAATCATGTTGGAAAATGACATAACATTTATTAAATGTACATAATGTACTGAAATGTACATACTTCATGACTCAGCAATTCCATTCTTAGGGATATATCTTAGTGAAAAACAGCTGAAAATGTACATACTTAATGACTCAGCAATTCCATTCTTAGGGATATGTCTTAGAGAAAGCCTTGCACATATGTAAATGGAAAGGTATATAACAGCTTTGCTTAAAATAACAGAAAAATCCGAAAATAATCTATCTGTTGACAGGTAAATTCAACAACTTATGCACTGTAACATAAAACAAAAGGGAAAAGTAGATGAATCTAAGGTACATACATCAACATGAGATAAGAAATGTAAGCATACTATCATTGGAAATAAGAAGTTGCAGAAAAATGCTCCTTCTATGATAGCATTTATACATAACATTCACAAACCTGTAAAACTGAACAATCAGGCATCTCTGATTTTCATTAAGAGTTTACTTTCAATTTGAGTTGAAGTTCCCCCACTTGTGCTGAAAGTAGATCTAACTAGTATGGAAGGAGTTTGAAAGAAGACAGTACATGAAAAGAGAGAGTGGGAGAGCTCTCAGAACCTCTGACACAATGTCACAAGGCAGGGAGATATTCCAGAGGCTATAGATACAATTCTGTACATGTTCAAAGGCTGGCAAGAGAGCTGGCCTGACAAGGACAGAGACAGCAAGGGGAAGCATGAAAAAGGATAGATGCTGATGTAGGATTTTTCTTCTCAGTCACTTAGCAAGATAGGGCCTGGCCCCATCCAGGCTTCACTAGCCATAGCTTGTACCGACCTGTGGCGGTTTCTGAGCTCTTGTACCACACCAAAGAAGAATGAGGTCATTGAAGTGTGAGGAGGGCAGAGAAGAATTTTGCTGAGCAATGAAACAGCTCTCAGTGGAGAGAGGATGCGAGGGGTAGTCCCCCAGTCAGGAAAGGTCCTCCATGTGTCTGGATCTCGGGCCTTTTATGGATTCAGAATGGGGAGTGTGTTCTGACCGGTTTGTGAGTATGCAAAAAAGGTTAAAGCAAAGACATCACTCAAAGGTGGGCATAACAGTGTGGAAAACCAATTAGGAAAGGGTAGATAGGTGTAAAGTAGGTGAAGGATGGGGACAATCAGAGGAAAGCGTGCCAGACAGGAAGACAAGTTCTCAATCTGGTCCGAGGATTTAACTTGTAGCCTGGCTTTCAGGCTTTAACCTGCCTTCGGCTTGGAGGTGGGGTTTCACTGGGGACCTTTCCCTTTCTGCCTGGGCATTTGGCTGCCTCCTGCCAGCCTCAGTGCTAAATGTGAAAGTGGCACATCTCTGACCTGACTTGTCTCTATTTTAAAAATACATTTTATCTCTATTTTTGTATGTGAGGTATGTGAGGACTGAGCGTGGGGGTAGCAGTGGGGAATGGCAGCTCAGGGTTTTATGAGGGTTATTTTGATGGGTATAGTTCTATTAGCAGTCGCTGACCAATAAGAAAAGGAAGTATTCTTTCTGATGTATTTAGCAGAAGCAAGGTCTCCAATACTTACAGCCTGTTCCAGTTTGAGAGAAGCATGACTGACAGAAGATACAGGATTTGGAGAGATTCCAGAAGCAATCAACAAAATGATAAAATGGCTGAGAAATGGGACCTCTGAGGAAAAGTTAAAGGAGCTGGGCTTTTAAGCTAGAGAAGAAGAAACCTAAGGCTGATATAACTTCAGGAATATGAGTGGTTATTGTAAGGATGACAGAGACCAGCTGTTCTTCCTGATCACAGAGGTTCAAACTGCAGGAAATGAGCTAGAACTGCAGTAAGAGGGATTTATATTAGAGAGAAGGAAGAACTTCACAGTGTGTGAGAAACTTACATTCTATTTCATGGTCTTAAAAAACTTAAAACTACTTGCTCTACAGAGCCTTCAGAACAGCATGGTTTGAAGATGGTATGGGGATCTGATAAACTCTGTAGGTGCTTCTACCATTATTCTGTTTATAGTTCCAATTTCAAGGCTTTACTAGAAGTTTTTATTCCTAGTAGCTCCCGGTGGTAATTTAGAGCCTATGTTACTTTCTTAGAGGATACTTAGCAAAACTTAAAGAAAGAAGGATTTGAATCTTTCCCAGGTCTTTTCTTAATATCCAAACAAACATTTATGTGCCTGAGCTTTAAAATGGTACCTCAAATTAAAGGCACCTCTGACTTTAATAAAAGCTTGTTTGTATAATGTTGAAGAGGAAATAATAAAATTCATTGTTAAGCAGAATTCCCTTAAGTAGCATAACCTAGAAATTATGTAAAAGCATTTCTGTTTCCTAATTTGAGGCATGAATTTAAAAAAAAAGATCCATGGAAATATCTTATTTCAAGCAGGTAGTATTTGATACACACTTTTTGTGTCAGAAACGTTCTTCTCTGTGAGTTAGAGAGAAGAACCATAATCACAGTTTTACATAAAGAATATCCTTGGAATATTATTAGAGGTAGTTAACATGTTCATCATAGACACCAATGAGATACCCTGAATGAATGTCTTGCCTTGATATACAACTCTGTGTCTCACATTGGGATTTAAGAACTTGAAGGTGTTGCAAATCCCCTACATACTTGAGTTGAGACTTTGATTACAGGAGATCTCTTAGAGAACACAGGCACTACAGTTAAGGAGATATTGCTGGTCTTAAGTCTTTGGTCTTTGCAGGACTGGCTTTTGATCTTCATTTTGTGTTGATCTCTAAGAACAGGAAGTAATCCTTGCAGCAAATTTGGCAGTAACAAAGTCTTCACTCAACTATATAAGTGGCTTCATTACTGTAGAAGAAATTTAATATTATCCATATACTCCTTTGCAGGTACAACATAAAATGTCCACTTTCTATGTTCTGCAGCATCAAGAAATAAACTGGATCCAAATCCCAAATTCACCCTTTCTGTCTTGACCAATTATTATTCCATGTACAACAAAAATGTATTCTTCCCATTTTTTCTTAAGTGACCCAGACTTCTATTTCTCTTTGCAAACCATTGCAAGCCAGGTCCAGTTCTACTCTCTCCATTATCAGCCCCAGTTCCTGCAGACCTCAGCCAAGGTAACAGCCCTGTCACCCTCTCTGGTTTTGTTTCTCCAGTCTGAAAGAAGAGTCTAGACAACGGCTTGGATAAGGCCAACCACAAGTCTAACCATTTCAGCCACTTTGAAGTGGTAAAGAGAAAGCTTTTGAAGGGATAGTCAAATGTCTAAATCACTCTTTTCAAAATGGCACTATAACCTGTGTCTTGAGTTGTACCATTGTCATCAGAGATGAGATTAGAAAGGCTTCGGTCAAGAATGCTATTTGTGGTCAGCTGGGTGGAAAAATAGTGATTCCAGATGCAACTAAAAGTGCCAGAAAAATAAAATCCTTTGCTCAAGGTCATTCAGCTGATAAATAGGACCAGGATTTAAATGCGTCACTCTGAATCTAGAACAGTGTTCTTTTCTTCATGATCTCCTTTCCTAAGAAATGATATAGAGCTTTTCTTTTTTATCCAGAATAAATGCTGTAAGGAAGATTTCGGCCTTACAAAGTACTGGTAGCCATGGATTCTTAATGGAACAGCCCCCCAGAGATTCACAAAAGAGCTGTGTGTTCCTTTATGCTCTGGTTCCACACCCATAAAGAGGCTATTAGAGTTTCACAATATACAAAATACAACCTAGATACTTACATTAAGTCAAATGACTTTCTGAAGTTTCCCACAGAGGACTTGAGGTATGCTGGAGTCAGAAACTATGCAGGATTTCTTTCACAATTGGGGATACAAGGATACCCTTATTTTTTCTTCATTGCTATGGGATGGTTAATCTTTCTTAGATACACTTAATTTTGCAAAGACATATTAAGTCTACACAACAGGGGTAAATCAGAGAATTAAACAGGCTAGGTGTTGTGGCTCACACTTGTAATCCCAGCACTTTGGGAGACTGAAATGGGAGGATTGCTTGAGGCCAGGAGTTTGAGATCAGCCTGGCAACGTAGGGAGACCCCATGTCTACAAAAAAGTCAAAAATTATCAGGGTATGATGGTGTACACCTATAGCCCTAGGTACTTGAGAGGCTGAGGTAGGATTGCTTGATCCTAGGAGGTAAAGGCTGTAGTGAGCCGTGATTGTGCTACTCCACTCCAGCAAGAGTGACAGAGCAAGACCCTATCTCAAACTAAATAAATAAATAAAAAGAATTAGCCAAGCATCTACTAAAATCTACATTACAGTTAATTTCATAAAGGAAACTTTTCTCCAAAAAGTGTCTAAAGCACTACATAGCCACTATTTGAAAGCTCCAAGTCTGAAGTGATAAAAGAAAATAGAGGTCATGAGGTGATGTGAATAAATACATGAATTAGAAACTCAGATATTTCTGAGACTTTAGGGAGAGATGAAACCACACAATATTTGTTAAATTAGTATGTGCCTATATCATAAAATGTCATTATTTAGAAGTGATTGTGAACTATCAACACCCTAATAGTGACTAAATAAAAGATAAAGAGCTAACTTTCAGGTAAAGGATAGCTTGTCATGAGAATGAACGAGTTTGCTACTGAAGGTTGATTAGCCGCCGTTGGATAAGAGGTCTCTGATTTTAGTGCCCTTCAATATTATTTATGATAAGGCAACTGAAAGGCAAAGAAATGACACTAACTGACTTGTTAGTTTTCAATATCTGGAACCTAGTCATTTGTGGTCTTGAGGTCCAGAAACTGGTGTCCCAACTTGTTATTGAAACAAGAAACAGTTTTCATGTTTATCAGTCTAGATTATGTATAAAACTGCTCTTTTCCAGATCAATTTTTGTGACGTAAAAAAAGTAGTCTCTGCCACTTGCCAAAGACAACTATTGCTAATATTTCTGATTTTCCAAGAAGAAATAGGGTTAAAAATAATCTGGTGTAGCTTCTTACATATTTTTAGGTAGAACTGGTTATATACTTTGTTGAATAGAATGAATAGTTATTAAAATCTTATAAGAATATCTTTTTCTTTTCTTGTTTATCTGTTTTTATTATTTTATTATTGTTTTTACATTCTTTCTTTTCCTTAATGGAAAATACTTCCCTCCCATCTCCTTAACTGAATAACTATGGCTGTGATGCAATCTGAATCAATCATATTCTCTCCTGGGGCCTTTAATTTGTAGTAGAGAACATCTGGGTATAATGCAATGCAGATCCTAATATCTGAAAACAGCTCCCTGGCCAAGAAGTCTGTGACTTACCCATGTCCCTGCCCTTCTTGTCTAGCTTAAAAAAAATCTATGAATTATCCTATGTACATATAACTTTTTATTAAAATTGGTCAAAGTCACTCTCTCTGCTTAATACTGAGGGTGTTGTCTAATAAACTTATCTTTTGAAGCCCTTCGCAGTCGAAAGAAATGAAGACAACATACAGAGTTCATTTGAAGGCAAAGATGGTTTTATGTTATAAGGCATAAGACGGTACAATAAATAAGTTATTTAGAAAGGTTGTTAAAAATCCCAGAGTCTGACTCAGTCTCCAGTTCATGTGCAATTCCTTATTTGGTGCTCTGTCTGTATTACCTAGACGCCATAGCCAAAGACAGGGGTTGTGGACATACAGACACTGACCAGTGTTTTTAATAGAGAGATCAGAAAACGTGGTTGCTTCATCGAAATTCGTAAGGTGAGTGGCCCCATATTATCCTCACCTACCTCTTTCTTAGCAGCTTTTTATTTGAAGTCACCATTTGAAAGAAAAGACAAATGCCTCACTGGGTTCAAAAATTGAATTTATCTACATATTTGCATTTGCTGTATGTAGAGAAAGGCTACGGATTGCTTTCCCTGCCATGAAGAGTTCATATATATATATGAACATATATATATGTTCATATATATATGTTCATATATATATATGAACTCTTCATGGCAGGGAAAGCAATCTGTATATGATATATATATATACTCTTTATGGCAGGGAAAGCAATCTGTAGCCTGTGGGCTCAATCTGATTCTTGCCCTGTTTTTTGTTTGTGGAAGCTAAGAATGGGGAGTTATTTCTACATTTTTACATTTTTACAGGGTTTTCATATATACAAAACAAATAATATTTGACAAAGACTGTATATGACCCACAAAATCTAAAATATTTACTCTCTTGCCCTTTTCAGGCAAAGTTTTCCAAACCCTGCTTTATAGGATAAAAATATTGTATTTTTAAGAAAAATATGTTCCTTTTATTAGCCACTTCTTGAGAAGTTTTATCTTTTTGTATGATGCATTTTATAAATCTTTTGTGTAGAACTCTGATGTAAAATTGTTCAGCAAAATAAAATAAAAATTTGGAAAGGTAAAAATAGTTGAATTAATATATCACTTCCATATATTCTGCATTAAATCATGTTTATATATTCATATGTATACATATATATGCAAAAATACACACATAGGTATGTATGTGTATTTATATAAAGAGAGACAAAAACCTTACTGTATTTTCATTAGTATACTTTCTATTTGTCAGTGATGATTTTACACTTCAGATTTGATGAGATTCTGCCAAGCTTTTAAAAACATTCCATAAGATTAAAAATAAATAGCAATACATTGGAAAGTTTATAAATATGAAATAAATACTATTTTAAATTGACCAGTAGGGGCAGATCAAAGAAACTCCCATTTACTCCCCTAATTCAAAAGTTCTTTTTTGTATGTTTGATTCTAATATAGTTTTTTAAACAGGAAAATATATTTTGTATAAAAACGTTAATAACTTCATTAGTCATATAGGCTAATTTAACTCAAATCACAGTTACTTTGCCCAACAAAAGTTGTTTCTAACTCTTGTTACATGTTCAAGGAAGGCTTGTAAGGCAGATAATTTTGTCATCTAGGTACCCAAGATGTGAAGCCTTCGCCATGTAGATCAAATGTAATCAGTGATCAGGGGAAGGCAAGAGAGGAGGACACAGGGATTGTGAAAGTGTTTATTACTTTCTTTGCCCACAAGTGACCCACAGTTAAGTTTTTGGATTTGATTCATGGCACTGCCTAAATGCAAGACTGCTGGGAAATGCAGTTTTCCATGTCTGCTGGGAGGAAGAATATGATGTGTGACTTGATGCACATTTTCTCTGCTATACTGTACAAAGTTTTAAGTAAATTATGTGTTCCATCTACATGATTTCTATTTGGTATGGGCCTTCTGGAAGAAAAGAAACATTTTCCAAAGCTCAAGGATTGTTTTAGTTGCTTAGTGCCAATTAAATTCAAGTAAAATTTATTACCTATTTTGCTGAACCACATGGAAGTGTCACAACAGTATGTGTCAGCCCAGAAATGGGTTTTTGGGAAAAAGGAATGTTATTAGTTTGAGAAGCATCAAATTCTGGCTTCCCAAGCAGATGGGTCCTCGTATTGGCCACTGTCCCAGAGAATCATCTCTTGGAATGTTCCAAGAGACAAAATGACTCACTCTATAACTTTCTCAAAAAAATAAAAAGAAGAAGAAGAAGGATCAAGAGGTGTTCCCTATGTTTTCCCCTTTCCCTTTTGCATTGTTTTTGTTTGTTTGTTCATTTTTTTCTTTTAACAGATCACTGACTGCTCAAAGGGGAGTGCCCCTTTGCAGCTCTCAAATTTACTCATGGCCCCCTACTTAGGCCAATGTTCTCTAGCAGTAACACCATATTTAGAACTCCCTTTCTCCCTCTTTCCCACATCAGAATATAAGAACTTCCTGAGTATTCTAACAGTTACTTACTGGAAATCTTAGTAAGTTTGATGTGTTGATGTTAGTTGGTATTAGTGATTTAATTTTTTACCCCTTCACAGAATTATCTGTATTAAAAAACAAAAACAACAAAAATAAAAAAAAAATGGAATCTTGGAGAAGTAATACCCATTATCCAGTGTTATTTGTCTTTAATGGTAGATTATCAAAAACCATGTCATGGTAGGTTCCCAGAACATTCAAGCAGAGAGTCTTTTCATGATCCTCTCAAAATGTTATTCATTATAAAATAGTTTGTTATTTTGTCTGACTATATTCACATTTATTTATTCAAATATTTGTATTTGTAATTCACCAAATATTTATTATTTGCATACTATTGGCCAGACACTGTATTAGTAGCTGGGAGTGAAATAATATATTTCTACTGCTTTTGAGGAGATGCTGATTGGATGCAAGCTGTCATCTCCCACCACCACCACTGCTGCTACTGCGCGAACTTGCTGCCCAGAGGCGTGTGAATTGCCCCACCTATTCACTCTAGTCTGCACCCATGTGCACCATGAAAGGGTTTAGGACAGGCCCATCTAGACTGACACCAGCCCCCTCAATGCTGGAGCATGCCACTTAGGGGCATGTGGATTGCTCTGCCCCATTCATCACATCTTAGATCTGTGCATTTCCCTCAGCAGCCTGAGAATGAGCCTGCCTAGCCTGCCAGCACCACCACTGCCAACACCCACCCCCACACATGCCACCAGGAAACCTGAGAACTGGCCCACTCAGCTTGTTACAGCCAATGCTAACACTAGTGTGTGATACCTGGAAGCCCAAGGTTTATCTCACCACTGCTATTGCCATATCCCACAGCACACTTGCTGCCTATGGGATTGAGGACCCACCTCCCTGCCAAGCCCATTGCTGCTATTGCTGGCATCTAAGCTAGCCACCTGGAGCAAGAAAAATTAGATCCCCTGGGCCTGCCCCAAATACAAGCATGGTTAGCCTGCAGAAGCCACCATTGGGCTCAAGGACTGGCCCATCCAGCATACCCATCCCTAGCAAAGTCTCACATATCCTCTACTAACAACTACAGCCTAAGCACTAAAGAAATCACAGACACCATTGACACTGTTTATAGCTGAAGACATCATAGGTAGACTACACTACTACACACACCCAGAAACAAAACTAAAGAGCTCCAGTCAAACAATTCCATCAGGAAAAAGTCTTCCCAATGAAAGACAATCCAAAAAATTTGAAGAAGTGGCTGCCACACCAGATGTGTAAATATCAATGTAAGGACACAATAAAAATGAAAAACAAGGAAATATGACACCTCTAAAGAAACACAATAATTCTCCAACAAGAGATTCCAATGAAAAATAAATTTATGAAATGCCAGAAAAATAGTTTAAAATAGTGATATCAAAGAAGCTAATTGAGATCCAAAAAATACACAGATAAACATTACAAATAAATCAGAAAAAACAATTCTGAATATGAATGAGAAACTCACTTGAAATATCCTAAAAAAAATTCCTAGAATTGAAAAATCATATGAATGAACTAAAAATTGCATTTGAGAGCATCACTAGAAGAAAGAATTTTAGATCATGAAGACAAGCCTTTTGAAATAGATAAGAAAAGAAAGAAAAAGAAATAAGAAAGAATAAAAACTAAGCCTACGTAACATATAAGACACCATAAAGCAACTAAAATATTCTATTTTGGGTCCAAGATGATGAAGAAAAGGCAAAGACATAGAAAAGTCATTAAATGAAATAATAGATTAAAAACTACCCAAGTCCGAAAAGTTATTAGACATCCAGGTATAGGAAGCTCAAAGATCCCCAAATAGATACAACCCTAAAAGGTTTTCAAAGCACATTACAATCAAACTGCCAAAAGCCAAAGACAGATAGAATTCTAAAAATAGCAAGAGAAAAGCTTGTAGTCATGTGTAAGCGAGCCTCCATCAGACTAACAGTGAATTTCTCAGCAGAAACCTTATTGGCCGGGAGAGAATGGGATGATATATTCAAATTGCTGAAAGAAAGAAAGAAAAAATAATAACTGTCAGCTAAGAGTACTATAGCCAGCAATATTATCCTTCATGAAAGAAGGAGAAAAATAGTCTTTCCCAAAGAAGCAAAAACTGAGGAAATTTGTCACAACTGCACTGGCCCTGAAGGACACACTTAAGGGATCTCTATCCCTGGAAGTGAAAGGTCAATATCTACCATCACAAAAACATGAATGCATAAGACTCGCTGGTAGAGTAAAGACAAATGAGGAGGAGAAAGAACTCAAAAGTTACTGCTACAAAAAACCACCAAACTGCAATGATGAATAGTAAGAGAGAAAGAAAGGAACACAAAAATCAAAACAAATAGGAAATAATAAAATGACAGGAATAAGTTCTCACATATCAATAATAACTTTGTAAATGAATTAAACTTTCCACTTAAATGATATAGAATGGCTCAGTAGCTAAAAATATGACCCAATTATCTGCTACCTACAAGAAAGTCACTTCACCTGTAAAAAGACAAATAGACTCACAGTAAAGTGATGGAAAAATGTATTCCATGCAAGTGGAAACCCAAAGTGAGCAGAAGTAGCTACTCTTATGTCAGGTGAAACAAACTTTCAGTCAAAAATAGTAAAAAGAGCCAAAGAAGTTAATTGTACAATAATAAAGGGATCAATTCATCAAAAGAATATCACAATTGTAAAAATGTATGCACCCAACATTGGAGCACTCAGATATGTAAAGCAAATATTATTAGATCTAAAGAGGGAGGTAACTTTAATACAATAATAGATGGGGACTTCAATTCCCCACTCTCAGCACTAGATAGGTTATCTAGACAGAAAATTAACAAAGAAACATTGAATTTAAATGTGCGTTAGATCAAATGGACCTAAGAGACATTTACATAGCATTTTATTTAAGATCTGCAGAATACACCTTCTTCTCATAAGCAGATGGATCATTATATAGGATAGATCATATGCTAGCTAGCAAAACAAGTCTTAATACATTTTAGAAAATGAAAGTCATATCAAGTATCTTTTCTGACCACAATGAAATAAAACTAGAAAATAATAACAAGAGGAACTTAGGAAACTGTACAAATACATGAAAATTTAAAAATATGCTTCTGAATGAACATTGGGTCAATGAAGAAATTAAGCGGAGAATCACAATTTTTTTTCAAACAAATTAATATGGAAACACAAAACACCAAGACCTATGGGATATAGCAAAAGCAGTACTGAGAGAAAAGTGTATAGTAGTAAATACCTACATCAAAAAAAGTAAAAAGATTTCAAATAAACAGTCTAATGATTGACCTCAAGGAACTAGAAAAGCAAGGACAAACCAGACGAAAGCTTAGTAGAAGGAAAAAATTATAAAGCAGAGCTAAATAAAAGAGACTAAAAAATCCCCAAATAATACAAAGGATCAATGAAACACAGTTGGTTTTAAAGATAAAAATCTATAAACTGCTTGCTAGACTAAGCAAAGAAAAAAGAGCAAGAACCAAATAAGATTAAAAATGAAAAAGGAGACATTAGAGCTGATGCCACAGAAATAACTACAAAAGATCATCAGAGACTATTATGAACAACTATACTCTAACAAACCAGAAAACCTAGAGGTAACGGATAAAGCTACCAAGATTGAATGAGGAAGAAATAGAAAACTTGAAGAGACCAATAACGAGTAATGAGATTAAATCAGTAATAAAAATTATCCCCACAGAGAAGAGCTCAAGACCAATGGCTACATGGCTGAATTCTACCAAACCTGCAAAAACAATACAAAATGAAACTAAAGCAACAAAAACTAACACCAATTCTTTTCTAACTATTCCACAAAATTGAAGAGGAGGAAATTCTCCCTAACTCATTCTATAAGCAAGCATTACCCTGATAACAAAACCAGACAAGGACACAACAAAAAATAAAACTGCAGGCTGTAGACCCGATGATCATAGACTAAAAATCCTTAACAATGTACTAGCAAACCAAATCCGACAGCAGCACTTCAAAAAGATAATACATTATGATCAAGTCGGACTTATCCCAGCAATCTAAGGATGTTTCAACATAAGCAAATCAATAATATCACATCAATAGAATGAGAATTAAAAACCGTATGATCATCCCAACAGACACAGAAAAAGTGATAAAATTTAACATTCCTTTATGGTAAAAACTCACAAAAACTAGGTCATATGTAACAGACTCATCACAGCTAACATCACATTTAACGGGGAAAAGGTGACAGTCTTTCCTTTAAGTTCTAGAGCAAGACAAGGATGTCAACTTTCATCACTTCTGTTTACATAGTACTAGAAGCTTTTAGCCAGAGCAGCTGGGAACAAGTAAGAAATAAAAGCCTTCTGAATAGGAAAAGAGAAAGTCAAATTATCTTTCTTTGTAGATGACATGATATTATATTTAGAAAAACCAAAAGGCTCTATAAAAAATAAAAAAAAAACTCTTAGATCTGATAAATTCAGTGAAGTAGCAGCATACAAAAACAACATGCAAAAATCATTAGCATTTCTATACAGCAATAAGGAACTAGTTGAAAATAAAATCAAGAAGACATTCTCATTTGTAATAGCTATGAAAAAAAAGCCTCGTAATAAGTTCAACGAAGGAGGTGAAAGATCTCTACAAGGAAAAACACAAAACACTGATGAAAGAAATTGAAGAGGACACAAAATACATCCCACGTTTGTGGATCAAAAGAGTTAATATTGTTGAAATGACCATACTGTCCAAAGTAAACTAGAAATTTAATGCAATCCCTAACAAAATAGCAATGTCATTTCACACAGAAGTAAATAAACAACCCTGAAATTTACATGGGACCAAAACTTACATGGAACTGAACCACTAAAGCATCCTGAACAAAAGGAACAAAGTTGGAGGCATAAGACTTCCTGACTTCAATATATACTACAATGCTGTAGTAACAAAAGAGCATGATATTTGTGTGAAAAACAGACACATAGACCAACGGAACAGAGGAGAAACCCAGAAATAAATCTATGTATTTATAACCAACTGATATTTGATAAAGGTGCCAAGAACATACATCAGGAAAAAGACACCCTCTTCCATAAATTGTACCAGGAAAAGTAGATATTCATATGCAGAAGTATGAAATTAGACACCTATCTCTGACCAGATGCAAAAATCAACTCAAAATGGATTAAAGACCTAAACATAAGACCCCAAACTATAAAACCACTAAAAGAAAGCATTGGGGAAACACTCCAGAACATTGGGACAGGCCAAGATTTTATGGTTAAGATGTCAAAAGTAAAGGCAATAAAAGAAAAAATAGACAAATGGTACTATATTAAACTGAAATGCTTCTGTATGGCAAAGAAAACAATCCAGAGTGAAGCAACAACCTCTCGAATGGGGAAAAATATTTGCAAAGTATTCAACTGACAGGGGCTAATATCCAGAATATATAAGGAACACAAACAACTCAACAGTAAACAAACAACTGCATTAAAAAGTGAACAAAGAACCTGAATATACATTTCTTTAAAGAAGAGAAGTGTTTATTTCTCTTTTGAAAGAAGAATTTGTATATTAACAACATGTATATGATAAAATGTCCAGCATCATTATCATTAGAGAAGTGTAAATCAAAATCACAATGAGATATTATGTTACCCCAGGTTGAGCAGCTATCCTCAAAAAGAAAAGAAAATAACAGATGTTGGTGAGGATGCAGAGGAAGGAACACTCATGCCTTGTTGATGAGAACCTAAATTAATATAGCAATAATGAAAACAGTATGGAGATTTCTTAAAAACTAAACATAGTACTACTCCATGAATCCCCCTACTAGGTATTTATCCAAAGGAAAATCAGTATATGGAAGGGATACTTGCATCTTCATGTTTATTGCAGTACTACTCACAATAGCAAAGATGTAAAATCAACCTAAGTGCTCATCAATGGATAAATGAAGAAAGAAAACCTGATAAACATGTATGATGAAATACTATTTGACCATAAAACCCCCCAAATCCTGTCATTTGCAGCAACATGGGGAAACTCGAGGCCACTATGTTAAGTGAAATAAGCCAGTCACATAAGAACAAAAATTATATGTTCTCATTTATATGATGGAGATAAAAAAAAATTAATCTCTTGGAAGTAGACATTAAAATGATAGTTAACAGATGCTAGAAAGAGTGTGTGGTGGGGTAGGGGTGGGAAGCGGTAGATGAAGAGAGGTTGATTAATGGGTAGAAACACCCAGTTAGGTAGAAGGAATAAGTTTTAATGTTCAATAGAGATAGTGGCTATAATTAACAGCAATGTATTATATATTTCAAAATAGCTAGAAGAGAGAACTTGAAATGTTCCAAACACATAGAAATGACCAATACTTGAGGTGATTGATATCTTAAACACCTTGGCTTGATCATCACACATTCTATGTATATAAGAAAGTATCACACGTACCCCCTTTAATGGGTATAAATATTATGCATCAATGATTAAGGAAGTGTTAAGAAATCTTTGCCTCTTCTAAATTAGGAAATTTTATTTTTATATTTTATTCTGTAAGTTTTGTAGTTTTTGTGTTTACATGTAGGTCAATTTCAAATTAATTTTTGTGTATGATGTGAGATAAAGGGAATGCTTCATTTATAAAATGGATATCTGGTTTTTCCAGCAATATTTACTGAAAAAAAATACTTCTCCATCGATTATCTTGACGCTTTTGTTGAAACCAATTGACCATATACGTGTGAATTTAATTCTGGAATTCTCTTCCATTGATCTATATATTTATAATTCCACCAGTAATACATTATCTTGATGGCGATAATTTTATATTACATCTTGAAATTAGATGTTGTGACTCAACTCTGCTTTTGTTCCAAAATTCTGTGGCCATTCTAAAGTTTTTGTATGTCCATATAATTTACTAGAAATAAGTTGGCAATTTCTAAAAATAACACTTTTGGAACTTAGATTTGAATTCTACTAATCTATAGACTAACCTGGGGGATAATTTACTTCTTAAAAGTGTTGAATTTTTCTTTTTTTTTTTTTTTT